AAAAAAAGTAAGAAATCTTTGGGGGTGCTTTGATTCATTTTGGGGGTGCTGAAGCACCCCCAAAAATGGGCTAAAATCGCCCCTGGTTAGAATTTTGCCTAAACATCGAAGTATGAATCTATCCTGCCTTTTATCAACAGGAAAAGCTGTTTCCGGTGGTGATGTGAGGGATATACTGTGATAATTGCATTTAAATAAATGATTTGAATATTTCTTCCACTACTATATGCATTCAAAGCTGGCCGGCTCTCCCTCCTCCTGTCCTCATGGCGGCGCTGTGAGGAAAACGCAGAAGGTCCACTATGAGATTTCACCAATGAAGTTCCGGTTGTCGGCGCACGCTTTCCTTCCGCGGTTTCGTGAAACGAAGAGATTGCGAACGAGTGCCTCGGCGTTCAGAAAATACAGATAAAAATGAGTAAAGCACACCCACCCGAGCTGAAGAAGTAAGTCAGTGATCTTTGATAAATAAACGCGCACTGGTTATTTTGTACGTGCTTCTTGTTTCCTGTATAGCAGATCTGGTACATTGTTTGTAATAGCCACAAGCTAGCATTAGCTAACATGCCTGTGAAGAAACTGTGACCATGTAACCGATGCTGATGGGTTTCTTTTCCAGGTTCATGGACAAGAAGCTTTCATGTGAGTATGACTCCAAGCACAGATTCAAATGCAGCCGGAATGTTAAAAGTGAATCTGTTCCTGTCTTTTGTTGTTTTTGAGCAACAGCATGAATTATCAAAGCAAAGTTATTGAATAATTTCAGTAATTATGTTTTCAGCTAGTACACTTCACAAAGCCTTGTTCGATGACCTCTGCTCACTGTTTGTTCAGGATCTCATAACAAAGAGCAGACATGTAGTGCAGGCAATACACATGGGGGGAAATTTATTTTAATACGCGCAGCGTGTTGTGTTGCTGGGAAGTACTGCTAGAAATGCGATGGTTAGGACAAATGTTGATATATTGTATAACTTGCACAGGTCTTATAACCCCTACTGTCTTTCATTGACACTATACTATAATTGTGAGATGTCTTTATGGTCTTTAAAAGTTGGAAAATAAGCTTGTTGTAACCCTCGGAATAATAAGTTGATTCCTCACACTGGGTAAGTCAAGTACCTTTCATAGATGTGGACTCAAAAGTTAGGTTATGTGATAGCATAAATATGGATGTCTTACTTTGCTGTATGTAAATATTCGTGGTAGTATGTGGACAATCTAAACTTTGAGTTTAAAGATGGATCAGTCTCAGAAATAAATAAACTGAGCAGTTTGTAAAATTCCTCATAGTGATTTATTTTTTCTCCTTTCAGTGAAGCTGAATGGAGGCAGACATGTGCAAGGCATCCTGCGGGGGTTTGACCCTTTTATGAACCTGGTGGTGGATGACTGTCTGGAGATGGGCCCCGGAGGACAGCAGAACACAATTGGCATGGTGGTCAGTACCTTTGTCTTTCTTAATTTTCTGTATTGTCACCAAAGGCCATGAACCCATTCCTTCTGTTCATTCTTTAGTTTGTGCATCCAACCAAAGAAAAGTTGTGCACTTAAGATAAGCACAGCATTGTTATCTTCAAGCAGTCTGCTCTCCTCTCAATTACAGCTTGTTTATTTACGAGAGAGTTCTGGTTATAATGGTGTCAGACTTCATATTTGCCACGGTCTGAACGTGCTGCAAAGCACTCCCATTAAGACCCCGATCTTTCTTGATAGCTTTAGCTGTAGTATATTAACAGGATTGCCAATATTCATTTGCACGTGAACCCTTTGCATTTTGGCACACTCTGTTTCAGCAGCAGTACAAATTGAAATCTGCACGATATCATTACAAAATAAAATAAATATTTTGTGCCTGATTAAAGCCCTGTTTTTCCATCATGTTAGTCATTTCCATCCACCGCTTGCTCTTCCTGTCATATGGACTGCAAAGAGACTTGGTGGAGTCATTTGTATACATTTTGGTTGCATATCATGTGCTACTAGTATTTCGTCCTTTGTTACCTGGTTGTACTTGACAGTTTGGTTTTAGCTCAGCTGGTGGAACAAGTTTTAGGGCCTTATTTCACAGACATTTAGCACGTCCCTGATAACATTAACCATGACCTGAACAACTTCAGATTGTTATGCTTGTTTTATTCTTGAGTGGGAGTAGCATGAACGCAGTTCCTGGGCAATCACAGACTGCCTGCAGAGGGTGTTTGTTGTTGATGGAGTGTCACAAATATGTATTACAACCTGTGCGTGGGCCACACTTGCATGTGCTGTCGTTGTTCCATCAGCCAGCCTTGGAGAAGTATAAAGATGAAGTGAACAGTGTTTTCAAAAACAACAAAAAGTGTCCACTGCAGTCACGGTCTGTACTTTTCTTTTTATGTTTGAGTCATACCCTTTCCTGCCGAACTCCACAATCGCGCCCTCCCCGTTTCTGGCCCACTTGTCAACCTGTGAGCATTTGAACAACACATATGTCTTCCACATCCAGTGACATGCTGTTGGGACTGTTTGGTGGACTGCACGATAGCACACTTGTGGAATTGTGTTCACATACCATACATTATTAGTTATACCTGCATCTGCTGCTGTTTGCCCCAGGAAATCATTTTCATTCATTTCAAAACCATCCTAACTCGGTTTGAAGCAGGAATTATACCGTCAGCAAGTCCGCTAGGGTACACTCAGGTCCCACTGATATAAATTTCATCATGAGATGGTTAGGGCAGTTTGTGCCTGCCTGCTTTTTGTGACTGTGTGGACTCTGTGTCTGTGGATGATTTACTTTACACTAAGTACACATTCTCCCCAGGCAATGAACTACAAACAACAGGAATGAGTGCTCAGCTGTTCAGTATAATTTAGGCTTTAAAATGTCAAGAAAAGCTGTTTGCTTTACCTTCTATGAATAAGATACTAAATTCTGTTTAGATTTGGAGAGCTCAGTGCTTTATTTAAAACCTTTAGGAGATTTGCCATGATGGCAGTGTGTTTACTCTGTGTGGTGTTGTTTCTCACAGGTCATCAGGGGAAACAGCATCATCATGCTGGAGGCCTTGGAGAGAGTATGAGAGCGGAGGAGGCACCTGAAGAAAATGATCCCTACATTTTGGTTTTTTTTGTTTTGTTTTGTTTTGTTTTTTTTTACATTATTGTCCCTTTCTGGCTCCTCAGTAAGGAGACAAAGCATTTGTATTTGAATTGTGAGATGATAGATACAGTCTTTTTGTTTGGACTTTTGAAATGTGTGATCTTGTGAATAAATCAGTTTTCTTTGTAATTGGTTTTCTGCATTCAGTTTATATCACATTACCACAATACAACAAGTTATTGTTCTGTTACTGTCAACATGTTACTATAGCAACAGGCAGAGGAAGCTGCACACTAAATATGATGATAAGAGTCCAGCTGGACCGATATAAAATACTGTGCAACCCCCTTATTTCTTCATATTTTCCCCACTAAGAGACAGATTTTCTTGGAAATTTTAAGTAATTCTCTGGGCCTTTGGAAGCTAAAAGTTTTTCTTTGGAGATTGGCTGCTGCTGAGCTCATTTATACCTGCCTATTTTCAAAAGGAGAAAACCAAATACATGTTGAATTTAGGTATGCACTTAGTCACTGCCTTTTACAAAAAAGTAATTTCTTCCTTCTGCTTCAGAATCTACAAAGATAGCAGCCTGACAGATGTAAAAGAGTGTGTGTGGGGGGGTCACCAATGATGTGATGCCCAAAGAGCTGTTAACTGAATATTTGAGCCAAGATTGTGTCAAGTGTGTGCTTAAAATTTTTTGGGAAAAACAAACAAGTGAAGGATTAAAGGAGTGGCCGGCCTAAAGCACTACAGCAGCCAAACAGTATCTGAATGTCATGTTCTTAAGAAATAAAAGAAGAATCCAGCAGAGATCTGGCACAGGCCCTTTACTGACCCATCTACTGTTCACCAAAGACTCGTCAGAAATGGTCTGAGTGGAAGAGTGGCTGTCAACAAGTCATCCTTAAGGAAGACAAACAGGCAGAAAAGGCTGAGGTATGTGTGTTCACATAATTTCCTTAGGGATTATTAAAGGATTCTGATTTGACATTAGAAGTGGCTTGAAAATCAGTGGCAACAGGCCATGTGAAGTGAGTGAAATTTGATCAGTCAGTCATGGTTTGGTGTCCCCAGAGCTCAGCCAACATTAGTGAAGCAGTGTGGGATCACGTTGACAGAGAATGGGACAAAAAGCAGCCAACGTTGTCTTTAAGAGAACTACTAAAGACTACATAAATAAATGACTAAACCTGTCTTATCCTAATGCAATTCTTATATTTAGAAAAAGAATTAAGTGATCACAAATATATAAAGTGTGTGTATTGTTTTAGATATGTTTTTAATGCAGGATATGATCGAAATAAAGGTTTTACTGCCAACAGGTTGTATCTACATACACAAAAACAACAATGTCATTCCTTTTCAGTAGCAAGTCTCCCAGACTGCAGCAGCCAACAAATGCCTCTGGATACTGTTGTCCTTTATATGTCAGCAGCACATAAAATCTGCATCTAGAAAAACCTGGTAAAGACAGTTTTGCTGACCTTATTCCTAAATATGACTTCAAAAAGTTTTTTTCTTCTGGCCTGAAGCCGGAGAGGAATTCTCACTCAGGATTCAGTTCCGGTGCGTTTGAGTGCTGTGTGCATGTGTAATCATAATGCGCAAATGCTGACGGCGGGTCGACAGGGGGCGCACTCCGGACGACTGACTTCCCGTTCAGCTGGACTTTTATTTTGAAAGCCGAGTGTCGTCAGTGCGGACGCGTTTCTTTACGTTCTGTGTCATAGCTGTTTCAACGGAATGTGGAAAGTAGCGATGTCGGAGGAAGTTGCCAAGGCTTTGCAGTCGGTAGTGGAACGGGTGAACCAGGCGGCGGCCCGGCGGCCTAAGGTAACTGCAGGCCGGGATGCTCCGCTCGGTAGCGCCGCTGCCTTCGCTCCTCTCTTGGGGCCCTGAGAAAAACGTGCTGCGGCAGCACGAATCGTTATGTAAGGCTGCCAAACACTTCAACCTTTGAATGGGAGACAGTCGGGCTTGCGGCAGCACTTTCATAACACCCCATGCATGCAGCGTGACAGTGCGTGCGGGGAGCATGGTACACGCACTCTGGCTGTGTTTGCGTGTTAGTGGGTACAGATGATGTCTGTCAGTTACTCATTCCATTATTGTGTGACTGTTGCTCTATGGGAAACGTCCACGAGTGTAGATGTCCTTTTCAACAAGTGCCACTCCATTCAAATAGAATCAAGGTTGATGTAGGTCACAGCTGTGGGAACATGCTGTGAGCTGGTTTATCTAAATGATGAGGAGCAGCTGATCGATCTGTAGCAGGATGTGAATGCAGCCGGAAGGATCGTTGTTTTGGATGATGCTGACAGGGCTGACTCACTCCTCTGCAAAAGACCTCTGCTTGCATGCTGCATCACACGCTCCTCTGCTGATGCTCACTGATACAGATGAAAAATGAGCTTTTGTTGTCCTTCCTCAGACACTACCAGCTGTACCACCCCGCCTTGTAGCTGTCAGCAAGACAAAACCCCCAGAGATGGTTGTAGAGGCCTACAAGCAAGGGCAGCGGAACTTTGGGGAAAATTATGTGAGTGTGGAACACTGCCAGCGTCTCTGCATGACCTGTGAGGAGAATGAAGGTGGACAGTAATACAGATGATTGACGTTGCCCTTCATTTCTCCCTAGGTTAATGAACTTGTTGACAAAGCTTCAGATCCTCTGGTAGGTTCACATATTTTAGAAGATTGGATTGCTCCTCCCCCACCGCAGACCTTGACCGTGTTTCTTTTCCCTTCATCCAGATTTTAGAATTGTGTCCAGAAATCAAGTGGCATTTTATCGGCCATCTACAGAAGAATAACGTCAACAAACTTTTGGGTGAGTGACCATCAGCTCTCTCGTAGAGGTCACAGACCTGCGAAACGCTCAGAGTGATTTGTGGTTATTCTAAGGTTTTATGTAAACCTAAAAAAAAAAACTAAAAACATCTTGTCGTTAGCAGGTCTGAAAATTAGGTAGATAGAACCTCAGATGAACAACAACACGTCATATTACACTGTGTCATTATCTGTTTTAACAAAACAGTGTTTGAAAAAAGTACACTCTTACTGCTACCATAGTAATTAAAGAGAGAACAGTCAGGTACTTCTAATCGTTACAAGCGTGACTATAAAGGCAGACGTTTTGTCAGTGTGATCATTTGGACCATTCGGGTGTGTGTTAACACAGGGAAGACAATCAGCAGTGATCTTTGAGAAGCAGTGTGGGAAGGGCCATGATGCTTGTTGGGTGTACTTTCTCTTTACCATGACTGTACCAAATTAAAGCTATAGCAACATGATACCCTTTTATCCTCATTTTTGCAGGAGTCCAGAATCTCTTCCTTGTGGAGACAATAGACTCTGCAAAACTGGCTGACAGGGTCAACAGCTCGTGGCAGCGCATCAGAGGAGCCAGCACACAGAGGTTAAAGGTCATGGTTCAGGTCAACACCAGCGGAGAACAGAGTGAGTGCTTCTTGGGTGTGACGATCTGATCACCAACACTGCTGCTGTTACGTGAACAATGCGTCAAATGTTTGTCTTAGGCAAACATGGCTTGCCACCAGAGGACACGGTCAACACGGTGAAGCACATAGTGACACAGTGTCCCGCCCTGCACTTCTTAGGACTCATGACCATTGGGCGCTACGGCTATGACCTCACTCTGGGGCCCAACCCAGACTTCCAGGTACGAAACAATTACAGAACGGCTACATATACCTGTGGTCATTTTTGTGTGGACCAAGAAAAATGAAAAACATTATTAATATTAGTGTCAGTCTGTAATCCTAACAATACACCTGCACAGATGCTGCTGAGTCGGAGACAGGAGGTGTGTGACAGTCTGAAGCTGCCTACGGAGGACGTAGAGCTGAGTATGGGTATGTCCACCGATTTTGAACATGCGGTGAGTGTCCCTCCTGTATGGAAGCTGGTAACAGCAATTTAAAAAACTTTGAGTGTCCAAATTCTGAAATCAAATTTCTTTTGCTTCAGAGCATGCACTTTGATTAAAGTCAATGATCCTCTGTAGGTCATGAATGTCTGTGTCAAACCCCACATCAGCACATACATTGCATTTCCTAAAAGTTGAACTTTGAAAAAATGTCAACATTGTACTGCCACTGCAGAAAAGATCAGTGGAGTCTTCGTGAAAATCTGACAGTCTGCACAAACATTTGTCCTTGGAGACTCCTCAGCATTGTTGCTGATATTTGATTTGAATCTGCACATCCCATTTTCTTCCTTTTTAACTGTTGTTTTTGTTTTCTTTGCTTCCATGTAAAGATTGAGGTGGGTTCCACCAATGTGCGAGTGGGTAGTATCATATTCGGCAACAGGGAGTATCCCAACAGTGCATTGAACACTCCTAATCCCAGTCCCGGTCCCAGTCCAGTTCCCAGTCCCGAGAAAACATCTAAGATGGTGTCAGAAGATGCCGCCAAGAAGATGCAGCACCTCACCGTGTCTGAACGCTAAGAAAGAGCCTCTCCTTCTTTGAAATACCTTTAATTAAAAAAGCAAAACAAAAAACAAAAGAGCTCTGCTCTTCACATGCAGAACGAACAGAGCGGTGAAGCAGATCTTTTCCACACAGCCTTGTGGAGCTAGGATTGAGGAATCCTGCATTAATTGTAAATTGTATTTGCCTAATCCTAACTTTTTGTGTGCCCTTGTTGCAGTTTAAGCATTAAAGTGGCATTTGGCACAGAGCTAGAAAACCTTTTTAACGTTGTTTAACAAGTGTTATTAACTTTTAGTGCCCTGACTTGCTCCTCATGGAAAACCTTTTAGTCAAGATAACTGGATACAAGACAAACTACTGAAAACACAACGACTTCAGTGTTTTTGCGTGAGGTTTCTTTGGATTCTTGTGATGGTGTGTGATATTTTCTACTTTTCCACTCAAACACATGACGGTGCTGAAATGTGTCTCCCACAGATCAGGACCTCTACACAGCACAGTGTACCACTTTTGTTGAACATATGAAACAAAGACCTGATTTAACAAATAAATCATTTATCCCTTTATAATGACACATTGTATTGTGTGTTTGATATTGTTCTGTTTGGTGTGCCAAAGGTGACAAAACTCTATTCTTGATATTAATAAACCTGAGCGTAAACCGAGGAAGTGTTTCTGTGTAGCAGTCTCGTGTCCGTGCTGTGGTGCTTTGTTGGAGGTGAGTGTGAGGGTTAACCTATGCAAAGGTTTTCACACTGCAGCTCTGATGGTGTAGCAGTGGTTTATTTACCGGTATCACAAGATCTGTGTGTGTCTTTTGTTTTTGTTTTTTTCTGTCAACATGGGGAGAAAAAAGGTCAGTTTGTGATTTAATGTGTGGTTACTGTCCTACCGAGGCATTTCAGCATTGTTTGGTTTGGAATCTGGCACACAGGGAAGCCGAAGCCAAGCAATAAATTTTATTGTTGAAACGATGATCCATTTGCTGTGTATTCCTTCTCCTTAGGACAAAGTGGCGCAAATAACAACAACAACAAAAAAAGAGTTCAGCCAAAGTTTTTTTTTTAAATTATTTTTTTATTAAGCATGTGAAACAGGCACCCAGACCACAGTAAAAAAACAGAATATTTCCAGAGTGGCAATTTAACATTTCTGAAAAGGCTTCAGTGCATATGATGTCTATGGATCTGAAATTGGATCTAAACTCTACATTTAAGAAATGATCAGAAATCTTAAAATGCTGTCCTGCTAATGTTTGACAGTCAACTTGGCTCTAGCCCAGCAAAAAAAAAAAAAAAAAAAGTCACAATTGTTCAATAAATAAGTTTTGTTGAAACACAATCTAGTGTCAGGAATGATAAGTGTAGAGGCTCTTGTAGTAATAAATCCTTGTAAAAGGCATTAGAAAAGGGCAGCCAGTATCTATACACACATTCCTGTTGTTAATATCATAAACTGGCTCTACAGATAGATCTGGTATACTACAAACAATACATAGTCTGTAGAAAGATGGATGGTAACACTTTAACATCACACAAACAAGCAGCATATAAAAGGTTTATAATATAACTGTAAGCCTATCTCGACGAGTGGTTTAATATTGGTATAGCTTCTGTAAAGCACCTGAAACAATATCAAAGCTGTAGCTCTAAAATATTCAATAGGTTAAATAAATATTAATATTATATATAGCTAAATATAGCTATAGAAACTCAATGCATTGAATAAATCAACCTAATGTATATCACAGAATCATGATGTCATTGCTATTGTGGGCAAAATATCATGAGTTAATCATTGAATACCTGTATGTGCGTATTTAACACAGTTCTGGAATAATTATAAACTATTTATTATGCTGCTTATAAAAACTAACTGGGACTCAAGCACTGAAATGGGCGCAAAAGGAACCAAAGGCATTATAGTATATGCAGAAATGTATGTACCTGATGAGTACAGCTGAAATCCTATGGTTAAAAGTTACAAAACCTGTGTGAAACTATGTGTAACGCTAACAATGACCAAAATTAAATACTTGTAACAACTTCAGCATTCTCATTTTTCTTCATATACAATCACAAAAATGCTTTTTCCTGCACTTTAAGATAGAAAGGTGACACGTCCAGTGTTGTCAGGATTACACAACAAACCATTTTGAGTTACTGTGGAAAAACTAAAAGGAAAGGAAAAAGCCACATTACCCGGGACACAAAATTGTATCTGCAGATTTGCGCGTACCATTTATGGCTAATATTAGGACCAAGTGTCTCCTCCTACACCTTTTTATTTGGGTGAGCAAAGTCTGTCTGCTCGTGTCATTTCACACTCACTGATTCTGTTCACACTCACGTTACACCAGTTTCTTGGCCTCAAAGAAGCTCTTCAAGTGCTTCATCTGCCAAATACCAGTGACAATGAGGATGACCGTCTGAGCAATGGACCACCAGAGAACACGCTGGTTGGTGCTCTCACTCGTCATGCGAAAGCGCTCCTCACGATACTGCAGAAGACAACCAGCATATTCAAGTCACTGCAGTGGCTTCAACTCCAATGCTTCTGCCATGAAACAGAACTGTTTTGGTTTTTTTGGGGTTTTTTAACTCACCCTCTGGTAGTTTTGCTCCTTCTGGATCTGTTCGACTTGGTCCAGCAGCTGTCGGACTCGTAGCTGCAGCTCGGTGAGTTTGTCCTTAGCTGCAATTTCAGGATAGTTGTTGGTATGTTCTCCCACTTGAATGTCCAGATGCACTCTCTGCAGTAACAGACACTTCAGATTTACATGCTTTTCAGTCAAATTCAGATCAAGAACTTCCTTAGAATAAGCTAAATTGATGTACTAACTAAAACCTTAAGTTTTATTTGGGAAATGGTGACTACAGCTGCACACTGTCCTTATGAAATAATTTTTTTTAGACCTTAAAATTTCACTCCTGTCTGGAAGCAAAAAGTAGCAGGTTCTCCTTCCACAGAAGAAGAACGATGACATCAGTGGGATTCTTTGGTGCTAATGTATCCTTGATTATGATGTTTTCACTCAAAGCATAGTTGAAATGCTAGCACCAAGGTCCCAAGAATATTGAACTGTACTGGTTTAAGAACCTCAGCTAATCTGGTGGAAAAACCTTCCAAGAGGCTCAAACAAAAGAATCAGAATGGGCTTAGGTCATTTCCAGCATAGCTCAACACACCCATATTTATTGGTGTTATTTTACAGCACATACATTATGTTCTCTGGATACTGGCATATTGTTTGCTACTTCAGTCTGAGGTGAAGTGCAGACTAGTGCCAGACCAGACAAAGTTAAGAGGCTTTTTTATATATAAAGATTAAAACAAACAAACAATATCAGTGAAAACAATTTTTAAGCTCACTGATGTGCCCAAAAAATATATTAACATAAGTCTAAGATGTATGATAATAAATAGGTAATGCAAAAATACAAAAAGAGACAATACTTTGAATTTATCTAAGGTAGCACTGTGTTTCTAGTGACTTGACTCTACATTTTCGCTGCTGATCAAACAGCATTAAGGTAGGCTGCCACTGTTGTTGTTGTTTCGTTGCGTCTAGGGTTAACTCACCTTCAATCTCAGACTACTGAGAAATTTAAGTTTTTAGACACAAGTAAATGTGTTATCTAACACTGGTGTGAAGGTCAAATACTTCAGAAAGGGTGACAGAGTTTTCATTTAAGAAATCTGGTCAACTTTGTATTACAAGGATTATTTATCTGTTATAAACTTACCCTTATGTAGCTAGGGTTTTACCATTACTTTAAAAACCTAATTCATCAACTAATTTTTTTTAAATCACTTAATTTAATCATTTAATCATTTAAATTTAATTATCTGCAGGTATTCAGCTCCTTTTTTAACTATTTTAGCTAGCAATTTCAAACTTACCAACTGAAATTGGTCAAATATAAACAATCTCTACCCATTATAACCATTTATACACTAAACTTGACTAACATCACACTTCTTTTTCTTTTTTTAATGATTTATCAACTACTTTTAGGTCGTTTATTTTTTAAACCACTCATTTAATGTACAGTTTAAACATTTATACACTGCTTAACATTACTCAGTTATTGTTAAACAAATGATAATTATTTTAAATTGAAAGCAGTCTGGCAGTTCAAAAAGTCAGAGGTGCACTTCTGTACATACCAGTTTTCCACCTGCAAACAGAGCCATCTTGGTAGAGTTTGAATGCAAACAGATCTGATGCTCTCCAGGTGTATGGGAAGTAAATGTGAACCGTCCATCCGATCCATACTGACGCGAAAGGATGATCTGGGGAATGTGTAAGCAGCAAATGCTTAGATTTAACTTATATGTTCCATGTGTATTAGAAAACTATGGAGCTAAATTGGTATCAAAAGGGTTGCAAAAGTGTATGTTATAACCAAGAAGGGTAAACTAAGATTTACAAATGTGTGTTCGTACTCACAACTGCAGGCTCCAATCCATACAGGTGTACAAAGCTTTTTGAATGAAGGTAAAACTCTTTTGCAAATGCAAATATCCAAACCTGAATAAATACTCATCATTTATGCACATTTTTAAGTTCAGCTACATAAATTTTATGATTTTTGCTTTCAAAAGGCTTCCTCCACAGATCAATTCAGAGATGCACAGAGGGGTTTGGGACTCTTTTCACAGTGTCAGCTTAGAACAGATCCACAAACGTAAGCAGCGTTCAAGTCCTCTTAAAAAACTGGAAGATCTGGTAATCTTGTGGATTTCTGCATTACTTCAAACAACACAGACATTTTTGTTTTCTAAATAAACAAAAAAAACCTGTCACCCTTCACTTACAGATCCTATATAGCAATATATGAAGGTTAATATATGGTTCAAATATGCTGCTGCTTCCTGGTGGATGCTCTTCCGCTACAAAAACAGCCAATCAGTATGCCTCTGCGGATTGGAGAACAGCACGATAAGCCATCCCTCTGGCTCATCCTCTTAAGTTAGTACAAGATAACTATTCTGCTGTATAATCGAAATACAGATATAATTCAGGTAATGTGGGATAACTACATCTGAATCACCTTACCAGTCTCAGAACACAGCACAATAGCATTCATCTTAGCTTAATGACTAACAAACATATGTAAGGTTTATGAAAGCAAAAATGATCAATTTAGATAGCTGAACTTAAAAATCTGTGTGTCAATGATTAGCGTTTATTCAAGTTTTCATATGTGTATTTTGTAAAATTGTCTTTTGTGTTTTCAAATTGCTTTGGATTTAGATTTGAGCACACATTTTTGACTACTCAAAAATACAAATTGTACCATTTTGCAAATCTTAGTTTACACTTGTGGAACATAGAGCATTCATTTGAGAATAATTTCACTTCATGGAAAATTACCTCTCATGTATTTACCTTTGTGTCTGGATCCTTGATCTCCACATGCATCCCAAGACCAGGGGTGGATGGAAGGAAGGAGCCGGTTTGTTTGTCCCACAGTTGAGTCCTGTACTTTCCTTTTAAATAAAAAAAACAAAACAAAACAAAACAAGCAAACATACCATCAATGGATCATGTAATCATTCACTTCTGCACTGCTAACACAGCCAGTAAAGTGTGTTTATATTAAACATACTGTTGGAAATACTATCATAACACTGAACAAGGGTATTTACGCAAGATGTACAGGGTCAGGACATAAAAACACGTTGAATGGTAAAGCATAAAAAGCAAAATGTAAGTAAGTAAACATAGTTTATTTTTATTTTTTTATTTCAAATATTTGATGCATTAAAGCGTAAATATACAACAGTTCTCAGTGGATCTGTACTTTTAACAGCCTTTAACATTTATGCATGTTTGGGTATAAAGGCAGATTTCACTTTTGGAAATGCTGGAATTCAGTTTTCTGACGTTCTAAAAAGCATTCATAAAAATAGCGGAGTCAGCTTAAGATCTTAAAAATGCAGCTCTACATCCTGACAATATGCATATTTC